TACTGCTTTTATAGATACAATTATAATTTCCTTTTGTTCCCGTAATACTATACACTTATTTGTTAATTTTCTTGAGAGTGGATTGTTTGTTTTATTAGAGACATTGGAGGAGGGAGGATTTGAACTTAATATGTCGATTGCAAGAGTAAATACTCTTAATTGCTTGACTTACAAGCCTCTTACGAGAGTAGATTGCTAATATCTCGTTTGACGATGACTTTATTTATTTTTTGAAAGAAATATAGTCATTAAATGCTTATTGCATAGTGTTATCGGTTAGAAACCAATGAATTTTTTATCGATCTAATTCAATTCAATTTTTATATTGGATTTGAGATTTTACAATCTATTCCAATGTGTTCGGATGTCATGATCCAATCCAATGTTGGATTGAATTGGATGATTGGTTTGTATGAAAATATGATAATCGCAAAGATAATCATATAGAATTCAATCCAATAGAAAATTGGATTGGATTGGTCAATTTTGAAATATTGATTTGGATTTTCTACAGACCTAGTTATTATAGTTAATTTTGTAATATTATCATTTAATAGAAATTCAAACTCATGTGCCAATAGGTTTTGGGAAATATGATGCGTTTTGAAAACATTGATGGATGGCGGGTTATTCAAGAAAGTACCAGATGGGATTTATCAGACGGAGATGAAAGAATCATGTCGATTTTGAAGTTGAGTTTTGATGAATTAAAACCAACTTTGAAACAATGCTTTGCATATTGTTCAATGTTTGTCAAAGATTTCAATATTGAAAAGGATGACCTGGTACAACTTTGGATGGCTCAGGGATTGCTTCACCGTCCTTCTAGCCAAAGTAATCTAGAGATGGAGGATGTAGGGAATCAATATTTTAATATTCTATTGGAGAAGTCCTTTTTTCAAGATGTTTCAATGGATAACTATAATGTGATTACCCATTGCAAAATGCACGATCTTGTGCATGATCTTTCAGAACTTGTTTCAAAATCAAAGAGCAAGGACTCCAATGATGTTCGACATATGGCCCAACCTTCAGCCTCAGAACTACAGGGAATTCCAAAAGGAATTGTAGTGCGCTCAATGTTTTTGGAAGGTAAAGTTCTTGGTAACATCTTACCAAGATTTAAAGGTTTGCGTGTCTTAAAATTACAGGAGGCTTATATTACTGAGTTGCCAATTTCAATTGGAAAATTGAAACACTTGAGGTATTTAGATATTTCAGGAACATCAGTCGAAAGGCTCCCCCAATCTGTTGGCAAGCTTTATAACCTACAGACGTTAAGAATATGGAGTTTGTGGCTTCAAGAGTGTCCAAAGGAACTGCAAAATTTGATTAACTTGAGACATATTTATTTTGGGAGGGAGCATCTATATCCAATTGGCATGGGGCGGTTGAGTGATATTCATTTTCTTGGGGAGGATGATGTGAAATATCCAGTTGGCATGGGGCGGTTGAGTAATCTCCGATCATTATCTCATTTTATTGTGGGTAAGGAGAAAGGCCGTGGAATAGAGGAGTTGGGTGGCTTAAAGTATTTGAAAGGAAAAATATCTCTGTATCATCTGGAGCGTGTGAGAGATATAGAAGAAGCAAAGAAGGCAAAGTTAGCGGAGAAGACAAACATACACCAACTAAAGTTTCAATGGGGGAATGACAGGTCAAGCGCCATAAACAACGACAGGGATGTCCTAGAAGGCCTTGAACCGCACTCTGAATTGAGAATTTTGAAGATTTGCAACTTTAGCAGTGATCAATTTCCATCGTGGATGATGAGTGGAAATTTGTTTTCTTCCTTGAAAAAATTAAGAATTGTTAATGCAGAGAACCTAATTGAATGGACGGGAGCTGCAATATTTCCACGCCTTGAGGAGCTGTTCCTGATGAATTGTAATCAACTGAAAAGTGCTCCCACTCATTTTCCATGTCTCCAAAAGTTAACAATAGATTCCATGGATAGCGGCATGCCGATAGCTAATATAAGCACTCAGCTCACCACTCTTACTCATCTCACAATAAAGTATATGAAGGAACTTGCTTCTCTGCCTGAAGGAATGTTAAAGAATAACAAAAATCTTTCATATTTGGAGATAGTGAACTGCCCAGATTTAACTTGTATTGCTGCGGATGTATTTGGTTGTTGTGCATCTCTCGAGTCATTGAGAATTTCAGAGTGTCCTAATCTTACGACTTTGCCTGATGGGCTACACACTCTGCTCTCCCTTAAGAAGTTGAGTATAATATATTGTCAAAGTCTGGAGTGCATCCCAGTTACACAGGGTGTCGCATCTCTCTGCAAATTTCCCATTTTCAAGTGTCTTGAGTTATGTATTCTACCTGAGGGGCTAGAATACTACAACTCTCTTCAAATGTTGACAATAAGGGGATGCTCCAAAATAACATCCATTCCAATCACACATGGGCTTCCATCCCTCCGCGAATTAGAGATTTCGTATTGTGGTGAATTATCAAGCCTACCGAGTGGGTTACAACATTGTACCTCTCTTGAGCACTTCTCTATCATCAATTGCCCGAATCTCGAAGCTATTCCAAGTTTAGACAGCCTCACACAACTCCGTCAGTTGTATATCTATAACTGTGGTGGATTAAAAGATGTACACCCCAATGCGTTTGCAGCATCCCTCACCCGCTTAAAGGAATTGGAAATTGGTGGGTTTTGGAAGGAGCTCGATTCATTTCCTGCTTTTCAGGTTTTTCCACAACTTGAAATATTAGCCTTGCACGGTTGGCCGAAGCTCAAGTCTCTGCCTGAACAAGTTCAACACTTTACTTCTCTAATTTCTTTGTCAATATGGTTCTTTGACGGCATGGAGGCTCTTCCAGAGTGGTTGGGAAATCTTGCATCTCTTGAGAGCCTAAGTATATTGCGGTGCAAGAATCTGATGTATCTACCTACACTCGAAGCTATGAAATGTCTCACCGAATTACAGTCCATAGAGTTTTACAGTTGTCCTCTTTTGAAAGAGAGATGCAATAAAGACAACGGCCCAGAATGGCCCAAGATTTCGCATATTGCATACAGCAGTTGTAAGTTTTTCAATTTTATTATTTGTTTTCTTTGGTTCTGAAATCAATTATTTTCTTCTCTTTACTTTTATTTATGAAATAAAATAATAATAAAAAAATCTTCTTTTGGTGAATTGGGGGCTAAGCCCGAACACAACTAAACAGACTGGGCCTACTAGAGAAGCCCTATCTAACTTAGTGTTCATTTTAACTTGATCGTTTATTGTTTAGTACATTTTATAATTTTTGGTTTACTTTCCCTTTGATTTGTTTAATCATGTGAACCGCTAAGAAAAAATGTTTGTGCGATTCGTTCTCACTTATCATTAATTAGGTTGTTATCTTCTATTCGCATTTTAGTTTAATCTTTCAATTACTTCAAATAAATCATCTCTACAAAGAATATTAACTCTGTTTGCCAATGCCTATGATTTTTTTCTTTCCACAAGCAGCATTGACCAAAGTTGTTTTTGATCAGTTGGTTGAGAGACAGGTGTTGATCATGGGGTGCAGATTGAAGAAGCTATGTTTCTGGAAAATTAATTTCATTGTAATTATAAGGTACAAGCAATTCCCGATTGTCAGTGCATTATTATACTTGTACTCTTCCCCAACCTTGTTGCATCTCTTCCTTATCAGCTTATGCAGCGGCATCTATTAGAGCGCGTACTTTTTCTTATACAGCTTCTGCTTTTGCTTCGTATCAATCAAAGATTAATTTTTATAATTTTGAGGATTTTCTGATGAGTTTTTGTCAACCTTTTTTCTTATTATTTTGTTGTTTTTTTTTTATTTTTTACAACCAAAATAACAGAGTAGGAAGGTGATGGAGACATTCAACCAATTGTGGCAGTTTCCCAATCAGCTCAACCCTTGGAAGGTGATGCCATGCGAGGAAAGCTTTTAACGAATCTGCAGCTGAAAGGTATGCATAGCCCTTGGCTTGTTTTCATGTTTGCTTTGTTCGTCAAGATAGCACTAAATTTGCACTAGTTCTTGTTTGAAAACAAGGTCATTGAGGTATCTTTCTTTTCAAATCTGTATCATCAGGTTCTTTGGGATCAAGCAAACTTCAACACTGCAGGATTTTGGCACACTCTCTCCCCCGGCTTTGTAAAAGTTTCTCTCCTGAATGTGATCATTTGGGTGACTTAGAGTTCCCTGTTGAGAGAAAAGAGATTATGGTTTAACATTTGGAAGAACCTTTTGTCTTCTTTGTTTTGTAGTTGTGGCTTTGCTAATTTATTCTCATCATTGTTTCTTGCATTTTGCTTTGGCAATCTTGGATTCTTATGAACATGTTGATGTTGTATTGCATGTTTTCTATTTGTTGGATTGGATGTCGATCAAATAATTTTAGATGTCATTTTATCATTAAATAGATGGTACAAAATTTTACTTGACCAACTGAGGCATGCATGACTTTAATCATTCACCAAGAAAGAAAATTTTGGAAAAAAGAGGAAAGAAAAAAAACTTTTCTTAAAATAATTAAAAAATAATCAAAACAATAACCAGACATAAACTTAAATCAGGTCCAGAAAACGTATGGGGCACTAGGCCCAGATTTCTTTCAGCTTAGTTCGGGTTTTTATTTGGGCCTTCGGGCCTCCAGTTTGCAGACATAAGCTACACCACAGACTCAGCTTCCCGCTTCTTCAACCAACCCTATCTCGCTTTCCCAAAATCACACCACCAACAAAACTCATGGCGGACAAGAAAAAACGCCAAACGCCGACGACGGTTGCGGACAAGAAGAAACGCCGTCGACCGGACCCGAGCTCCGACGACGACACCCATCACCCC